CCTTTAAGCTAGATACGGAAGTTGAAAAAAAACTTTGTAGAAGAAACCACTTCTGTATTGATGCAAAGGTAATAATATGGACATGTATAGAAGTCAAGTTCAACTAAAGGAAATTTCTCCATCTCTTTGAAAGCCAGTGTTCTGCAGGAATTTGGATGCTGAAACTAGGAGCAGGGAAAGGCAGGTTTTAGTCATTCTTTCAGCACAGAAACCAGTGGGGTGACTTGGCCCAGTAACTCTCTCTCAACACTAAACTAGGACATTAAAAAAAATCCATTTGCCTGACCCCCTCCTCCAGGACTAGCATAGTAGTTTACAGTCCATTACTGGACCTTCACATAGAATTGTCAGCATTCTACAGCTTCATGCACGTTGATGTATTTTGAGGTTTTCCTTTTGACAATATTCCCAAAATATTCGGTATTTTTTTTTTTTGCCAGTTTTGGGATTTACCCCCAAACCTGCCAATGCTTCCCTCTTGTCAACTAATGGTGCTGGCTGTTTGGGCAGCATAAGGAACAGTTATAGGTAGCTCAAACATTTGAAAGAGAAGGAATGGATTTACTTAAAGCATTCTTCCTAGTGGCTCCATCATCCATTCAGGAGGAATAGGATCAGGTCCACCAGCCATGCCAGTAACATTCATATGTCCACTGGCCTCGCTTTCCTTAGGACTGTGAAATGGACATGTGTATTTTGGTTGGTTTTTTTTCAACCCATCAGGAAATAAAACCTTCCAGTCCTATATACAGATAACTGTGTCCTTGCAGTGACTATTCTTGTTCACATATGTGAAGATGCTGGAGATATGAGCTCAAGCCTGCTCTTGCTTATATTTGGTGAATGTGTGTTTATTTGAGGCAAAGTAGGAAAGAGGTCTTAAATAGCACTTTTGAAACCCAACCTATAGGAGTAGTTCTCCCCCTCACTTGATGTTAACATGTACTTTGTGTGTTTTTATATTGAATAGGAATGGAACTGCTATTTTCTTTATACAAGTTTTTAATCACATGAAGATTTTTAGCTCACTGATCTTAGAGGAGCTGAAAAGAGCAAGCTTGATTTTTCACTCCCAGTTTGGTTAGTTCAGGTTACACAAGGAAGCCATCAAATTTTAAACTGCAGAGGATTAAGCAAAGTGGAATAAATTGAGATGTCTCCTTTTCTAACTTGAATAAAAATGAGGAGGGTGCTGTATGTTTTTTTTTAAAATTCAGATTTCTTTCCCATGTAGTTCCCCTTCAAAAACCAAATTGAGTTGGCTAAGAGTTGTGGTGGCTGAACTTGAATTTGGCTTCCATGCCTCAGTAGACACACCACACCATAGTGACTCACTTTTCTTTATTATCTGTGTCTTCACTTTGCAGACCATAAACATGGGGCCACAATAAACTAAATTTGCTGGAGTCTGCTTCACTCTACCTCACATAATTTTAATTTGGGCATGGAAGAAAAAGAAAGGACAGCAGTTGGTATTTTCCCAATATGTTAGACTATAGCTTGGTAATTTCCTGTGAATGGGTTGTAGCCCAAATCATCTGAATACCATCACAGTTGGGAAAAGCTGATCACCATATTTGTAAATTGCCATCCTGTCATCCTGGTATATTCTTCAACACGGAATCACCACCGTCTGCAGCAGGGATTAACTCTAGCGTGGCTTTCTTCTCCCTATCCTTTTATGATTGCGAAGTATTAGGAATATACTTCGTGTTCTCCTTAACCCAAGTTTATAGAAGTCCTCCATAAGTCCTCTTGTTCTGCAGCAAGTAGTAAAATGCTGGGATTCCTTTCATCCATTGCTATGGGGAGATCAGCCTTTCTCTTGTCCCCACTTCCGGCTGGCTGGAGTTTTTTCAATAGAGATAGTCGGTTCTGATCATTGTTTGGAATTTCACAGACATTTGAAACAGCCTCCCCCATCTCCGCTTGTGTCTGAGAGCTCCTAAAAGACATAAATCTGATACAGAGTTCAATAGCGCAAGAAAATGAGGCCCATCGGCCTGCCAAACTTCTGGGTGCCATTTTATGACCTAGCTGGCACATTCATGGCCACCAACATATATCTTTCTGCCTCTTGGACTGTTAAACAAGAGCTGTCCCAAATTTTTATATCGTGTAAGTGCAGGCAAATGCTTTGATGTTGTCATTAACACGGTTTGTGCTCCAGCCGGCTGCTTCCTGGGTCCGAAGTAGATGCAGACGATGTTGGATAATTACCGTGTCTGGAATTTATTTTTATTAGACCTCCTCCAAGCTTGGACATGGTAAAAGGTGAAATGAATCCAGTGAGCTCTTCGTATCGAAGGGCTGCCCTGCACACATCGGTTGCCTGATTGTTTTCCAATATCTCATTTATGGGTTATGAACTTGAATGTGAAGGTGGTAGATGGGTTTCCGTTGGCAAACATGTTTGGGAAAAGGTTACCAAATGCCTTGAGGGAGAGAAGAGAGGTATAAATTTCAGAAATAGGTTTGCTTGCTTACTTGGTGTTTGGTGTAATGATGAAGAAACTTGTGGTTCTAGACCCATGAGTTCTAATCCTCCCTTAAAAGCTGGGGGTGAGTCACATTCTCTCAGTCCAACCCACCTCATCCAGTGATTCTTGTGGAAAAATATAAGGAGGAAGTACTATGCAGGCTGCCTTGGGTTTTATTTTTAAAGATGAGATATACTGTAAATCTAATAAATACGTTTGTTTTTCCTCTAGGATTCAGAGTGACATGCCCACCCTTCCTTGCCCTAACAACAATCCTGTGCGATAGGTTAGGATGAAAGTGACTGATGTGAGGTGAAACCTCCAAGGTTGTGGCTGAACTTGAACCTGTGTCTGCTTAGTTCTAGTCCAGCACCTTAACCACCCTGGCTCAGTATTTAAAAGAAGTGATACCTCGTGCACTTGAGACCACATTAACAACACCTCTGTGTTAAGCAGATTGCCTCGAAAGTCTTTCCAGAGGCTCCTTCCACTTGAATACACCTTTGCCTCCTCAACAAGAAGCAGTCTTGTTGTGCTGCTGTGACGAGCTTGGCAAGTGCCTCACCTTTACCTCCAGAAGGTAACCAGGGCTTGTTCCAACTGTCCAAAGCGTGAGCTAGCTGTGGCCATGCCCTTTCCTTATTCTCTCATTGTGCTTATTGGTCACTGCAAGAAAAAAAAATAAGCCACAAACTGGCTATCCATTCACAGCTTGGCAAAGATGCGTTTCACAGCACTTGGAAAATAAATAGGCGGCCAAGTACCACAATGCCTTTATTTCAGGAGGGAAGGGTAACCCCCAAGAGGGGAAGAGAACGGTGATGCTATGATTTCCGCCAGTGGAAACTGACTTGGCAGTGGTTCCTCTAAGCCAGTGATGGGCTCAGTGTGTCAAAACTTCAGAAAATTAATAAAATGCCTAACTTGACTTTGCTGGGATGCCCTCCCCTCCTCTCCTCTTCCCCTCCCCTCCCCTCCCTTCCCCTCCCCT